CTACCTCTAAAATGATACCCAAATCCTCACTACTCATCCGCCATGGTTTAGGCCACTTAGTACAGAGAGTGATGGCGCAGGGTGATCGCCTTGACCGATTAATGGTTGCGAGATAAAGCGACTCAATCGGCGAGCGAGCAATCAATGTGAGTCATCTGTGCGCGTGTACCAATGAGAACCACAGATAAAGAGCTGTAATATGGTCAACAATGTTGGAGCGATTCCGGCTCACAATGATGCCATTGGTTTAATAGGGGTAACAAGAGGAAGAACTGAGTCGCACAAGAAGGGCTTATACGTCAAGGAGCCAAGGATTGCCAAGTAATGAACTACCGGAGTAGATAAATATAATAATGGGCTACGCATGACGTGGCTTATAAACACACAATAACTGCCCATGTCTATAAGAGATGTTAAGAAGGTTGAACTGTCTGTACATTCGGAACATCTTAGACAATCACGGTTGCCGTCATCTGTAGAGACTCCTAAGACAAGTCTCTGGAAATCATCACCGAGGTGGTAGGCAAATTCAACGCTTTCAGCTCCTCATAACCTAATACACTCGGTATACCTTCCCTCACCACTAGAGAGCCTCCCACTTTATTTGCTCCCAAAAGTTTTTACAAGAAGCCCGCATGAATAAAACCAAACAAGGCTAATGACTTGGATTTTCTATCAGGAGCCGCTCTGAAAGAGTGTGCAGATATCTTAGACATACTTCTGACATAGATCTTGAACCGATGCTTAACGACTGGTACCATCCCCGAAATCTGGAAACTATCCAAAGTAAATGTAATAGCTAAAAATGGATGTCGCAAGGGTTCGCCAATTGCGTACACGTCCATGCTGTTAGGAGCACTGGAAAAACTGCTGATCCCTCCGCATTTTCAGAGACAGTCCGTACTGATAATGTTAAACAGTTTGTCAGCGTGCCCTACATTGGATGCATTCCATGGCATGCAGTGGGATAAAAGATGCAAGAGTGCACGACTCCTATTTCTCGATTAGACCAACGCTTTTGAGAGCATTGTCAGATCAGTACTGCACAACAGTTTGTACCAAAATGGCGTTCCTGCACATGTGTGTAGGGTGATGCGTGTTTTCCACAGAAATCGCATCCAATTCACGCAGCAGAAATTCTTCTGTAGTCCCAGCCAATGATGCTGTTTTGTAGGGAGCCATTCTATCCCCCATTCTACTTATCCGCTTGGTTTGCCGAACTTCCTCCTCGTGGTGCCACGTGCGTGGATCGGGCTTGCCCCGTTCCAGCGGAAAATTCGGCGGCAGTGTTCCAGGTGATGGGTTTTCGCCTAACAAGCGTTCTCCATATAAAAAACCACGAATGTCCGTTTAACAACACTGTGACGTGGCGGATGTGACACGCCACTAAATAAAGTCACCGCCCCTTACTGTTTCAGCAAAGCATTGTAATTCCTCAGATAGAGTCTGAATCTCTGGATGGACTGGGTCAAAGTTTGGCAGATCGCCGAACAGGTGTATGAACCGTGCAATCGGTCACCGGCTCCCAGTGGACGCGATCTCCTGACTTCGCCCAGCTGCCTTGCAGGTGGGCTATTGAGCCAAAGGCTCGGGGCAGAGTCCCCTATTAACTCACTGCCTCGGCCTGGGCAACCGGGTAGGATCATGCCCGCTGAGAAACACTGACGGATTGTCTTCCTTCCATGTTTCCGCTCCTGCTGCTTTCGTCGTTGGCCCAGTTCCATCACACACCAACACTACATGTGTTGTCAATCCTACTTCCGTTGAGTCTGCCTCCGATCCCGGTTTTGCCAACACTAGAAAAGCTCAGTCGACAGCCATACTTCAACCTAGACCGATGTTCCGATTGGCCTGCTTCAACGTACGAACACCTATGCAGATTAATCAACACGCTGGCCTGGAGAGTACGCTGGAAGTCTCTCGCCACTGATGTTTACTGCGTTTCCGTAACCCGGTTGCAGGATCCTAGCAGTGTACTCATGCTGACGTCCCCTTTTGATCGCAGAATCATATACCAACTGCGTCTATCCACTGACGCAGAAGCAATTGCAGCAGGCTTGGCTAGTGTTGGGATAGCGCTAAGTAGGAAAGCCGAAACTGCCTTGCTAGATTGGTTACCAGTTAACAGTCGGTTTTGCGCAGTTCGGCTTAAGGGATCATGTCGTATCAACAGACATCATAAAGAAACACACAACTTGTCTGTCGTTTCTGCATACGCCCCAGCTGACTGCAGCATCGACTGTTTCAATGACGATTTTTACCGCGGACTTTATCTTCTTCAGAGCAAAGTGGACAAGGCAGATATTGTTATACTTACTGGTGATTTTAATGCACGCGTCAGTCGCCTGCTTCTGTATGAACGCCACCTTGGAGGTCAGCACGCGCTTAACGAGACGCACAGATAATGGGAACCGGCTTTTCACCCTGTGCGAGGACAACCACCTGTTTCTCTCTAACACTAATTTCAGGTATAACAAGTGGCGTTTCGCAACCTGGTGCTCTCCGTCGTCAACATTATTCTGGTCCCAGATCGACCACATCGTAATCAGTTTCCGTCGGCGAGGTAGTATACGAGACTGCAGGTCATTCTGGCCAACCTACCTCGACTCAGGTCCCGCGCTAATTTGTGCGAACGTCTGCATTCGCTTCGGTGGGTCCCGGAAACAACTGCACCGTAAGATTGACATAAACAGGTTAGTTGACCCTTCTGCCCAACTTAGCCATCAAGCTGCCCTATCGGACGCTCTCACCGGTAATCCACCCCAGGATAGTAGGCAACATTAGGCTTGTTTGCACGAAGCGATGCTTTCCTCTGGTCAATCGCTTTGTGGTCTCACCCAACGCACTTTGAAAAGTTGGATCTCCGTTCGCTCGCTAGAACTGTTGGATCGCCGTAGAAATATGCCACCGGAGTCAGCTCACAATTCTGTGCGCCAGACTCTCAATCGACAACTCAAACAAAGCTTGCGCAATGTACGTGAGATTTGGTGGTCTAAACGCGCCTCGGAGATGGAGACCGCTGCTCTCTCCGGCAATTTGCGTAAGCTCTTTCAGTTCATTCGGTTCACCGACCCTAGAAGGTCTGTTGCCAGCGAGACTATCTGTAAAGCGGATGGGTCACAAATCACTAACCCGCAAAGACGCGTAGAGCGTTGAGCCGAGCATTTTCAAGCCCAGTTCAATTCCCATCCATTGTCCTGTAGTATGTTAAGTACACCCAATTGCATGCGCTGGGCCACTTCATTGGAGCCACCTAACGAAGCGGAGGTTTCCGTCGAGATTCGACACCTCAGGAGATTTAAGTCTCGCAGCTCGGACAAACTGCCTCCGGAGATGTTCAAGTTTGGCGGCCCAACACTTGTCAAGCAGTTGACATCGCTGTTTTCCAAGCTATGGAACGAAGAGAAGATTCTATTCGCCTGGGGTGAGTCAATAATAGTCCCCGGTCGAGGATGCGTGGACCAGATATTCACGCTCCGCCAAATCCTTGAACACCACCATCTCTACCACAGACCAATTATTTCGTTTTCCTGGAAATTTGAGCTGCATTTGGCTCAGTTGATCGGCTTGCATTATTGTACTGTTTGTTAAGCAATGGAGTCCCGAAACGTACACTTCTATCATTCGGACGTTTTATTTCCGAGTGTCAGATACAGTGGGGGTCTTTGGCAAGCTTTCCTCACCCTTCGTTATCTCCAGTGGTTTGCGACAAGGATGCTCATTGTCTACAGTCCTCTATAACTTTGTAATTGAGGACTTCCTGTTGAGATCTCTGGAAGGCTCCCAAAATCTTGGTGTTGTGCTTCTCGCTGGCAATCGCGTGACCGACTTAGATTAGACTGATGACACCGGTCTGCTCGGTGACGATTCACTGAATGTATAGCTCCTTTCGAACCATCTGGCGACTGAAGCGTCTAAGTATGATGTGCTACTCCAGGCCTGCAAGTCGTCTGCCCACTCACTTACCATTGAAGCAACACAGCTATAGCTTGTGGACAAGTTTGTCTACCTCGGAAGCTGTATTTCTGCGGATGGTATTATTGTGGAAGAGGTATCATCGCATCGCCACAGCCCAGTCGGCATTTACCAACTTGAGTCATTTGGGGCGTCGTCGGGGCATATCCCTCTCCTTAAAGGGGAGGGTCTACAACGCAGGTGTCCGCGCGATCCTGCTGTACGGAAGTGAGTCCTGGGCCGATTCGTGTGGGTGACATGCGTAGGCTTTCGGCCTTCGAGAGCATATGTTTGCGGCGGATAGCCCATGTGTGGTGGCAGCACAGGGTACGTAAAGATGAAGTTCGGTGTCGTGTCTTGGGAGACATGAGCCCTCCGTTTGATCACCTAAAGCAATGCGTCAATTGAGGTGGCTTGGTCACGTTCTACCTTGTCATGCGAGCGCTTATCATGCCGCACCTAATTTGCTCGCATGGGATTGAAGTGAAAGAGAGCATGTGGAGATCAGCTAACCACTTGGGGGTAAACCTTGAAATCACTGACATCCAGTCTTGCAATCGTCGGCGCAGTACGTCTTCTTGGTTGGGGCCCCAAGGATGGGGACTGCAAATTGCTAAACACAGTGGGAGATATGGCGCGAAACCGGAATCAATGAAAGGATGTATAATGAAATGTTTTGAACAATATGCTTAGAGATTTACCATACAAAATGCCAAAAAAGAACAAGATGGTGTGTATAAACAAACAAAAAAGCAAAAGATTTGTTATCGGTTCCTGACACCCGTACTATATTTATTTGGTTGCTCATGGTTTTGCGATGGATCAATGTATATTGATAGACTGAATGCTCGAGTACGAGAGAAAGTCCCTAGGGCCTTATATAGAACTAAAGTGGGCAGATTGATTAAACACTAACAGGTCAGTTAAAGGTGGTTACACAGGGCTGTAACGTATTTCCAGATTCCGGATTTATTCGTGTTAAACGCCAAGCGCTAATGCAACGGGCTCAATGAGCAAATAGATGAAGAAGAAAACAGATGACTTACCGAACATGAGAGAAAAACAAGCCACGAAAAGAAAGCTAGCCGGTAGCACTGGTGGAAGACGAGCGATACGACGAGGTTTCAAGCTGAACAGCCTTGCGGATCCATCAGGATAGGACCGCGAACAACGGAAATGGCGCAACACCGGGGCGAGCCAATGTGAGTGCAAGCCCCAAACTTGATCATCTGAGTCAGCCATGCTCGGCGAACGGACCTCGAAGGTTCCGTAAATCGGTTGTCCCTCCACTACGGAGGACGGCATGTTCAGTTGGTTTGAACGGAAGACGTGAGACGGCCGTAGAACACCAACAGTCTGCTGGTCCTGCATTCCTTCCATCAAAAGATCACTGTTCCAAGGTTCATAAACGGGAGCAGAGGGATCCGTCCTCTCTGGCGCCCCATCCAGCTTCAACAGTGGCCCCCTACCGTACAACTGCTGATAATGCAGCGTAGGTCGGATACACAGACACCAAATGAGGACGAAGACGGCTAGAGCCAAAGCGCCAGGCAGGAAGATGCTCACGGCTAACAGCAACATTGCTGTATGGATATAGAAATGAAGGCGAAAAATTCTCCGGGAAATCAATGACATTCAAATGAAGCTAAACAGTGGGAAACTAAATCTACACGTCAGCAGGATTTGCGTGCAATTGTTGAGGCGGAACATCTAGGTTTTAACCTACAACATCTGAGCCCGCCAAGCAGAAGGACCGTATCCGAAGCAAGAGGTTTATCTACAGTGCCTTCTCTCAACGTTGAAATTAACTATGGAAATCTGCCTAGGTTAATGCTCATGGCTTGAGAGTGGGAGGTTGAAATGGAACAAATAATCTCAAATCCATCGGGTACGGTGCCAGTCTTACACTCGAGGCAACACGTGTCGTAGTTCAAGCAACAAAAACAACAACAAGCGTTAGCAAGTGTCGAAAGCCCACGGTTCTCTGTTACGTGTTGTCCCGTGCTAAGTACGGAGAACATCACGCGGAATCGAACCTACAATTCCAAGCCAATAGTCAAAGACTGTAGATCCAACGACCAGGACAAATAGTCCTTCACGAACATCACGACAGTAAAAAAAATAGTCAGCGAAAAAACAGGTTTCCACTGGTTCAACATCATGATAGAATTGCGAAGAAATTTCTTTTCGATAAATTAGTTCAGGTAATTAGAATTATGGGCGTTATACTTATGAGTGGAGTAGCTACTGCTAGCGATGGGACGCAAATCATGAATCGAATCCCTTGATTATTACAAAGGATACATGGATGATATGTTTATTGTTTGCGACTCTCATACTGATCATGTTCACCTGTTGAATCAATTTAACAACGCGCACCCATCGGTGAAATTCACTTGCGAGATTGAAGCGGACAGTAAGCTGCCTTTTTGGATGTTTTGCAGCGACGACGGGAGGACGGATCGCTTGAAAGAAAGGTTTCCGCAAGCTAACCTGGGTAGGTCAGTACACACAATTCCAGAGTTTCGTACAGATAAAGTACAAAGGAAGCTTAGTACGTTGCCTGTATTATCGGGCTACAAGGATTTGTAGCCCTGAGACACTGGAAGTGGAAAAGAATTTTATTCTCAAGACATTGAAAAGCAACGGGTACCCAACTGCTTCATCAAAAAGCATTCCCAGCTCCGAGCTGAGCCTCAGCCGAAAACGACAGCGAGAAGGATGTTTGCCTCGCAGTGCCTTTCAAAGGAGACATACAGTTCGAACTCTTGAGCTCAACCAAACTGAGCTAAACTAAACGTACCTGGCCGCCAGAGTCCGCATTCACGCCGAAACCGTTCCACTCATCACCAACCGCCTAAAAGACAGAACTCCGGCCCAGTCCGAATCCTATGTTCTATGCCAGTGCACCTGCAACTGTGGTGAGTGATACCTCGGGCACACGACTAGACGTGTCAAAGTGGACAGCGGAACACTGCCCTGCCTCATTGCAACGTGGTGCCACCAGGTATGTCCACAGCTCCATGCTAGAACACTTAGTAGGTCACCGGTTCGAATCCGCGTAGAGGTGGGCGTCCTCGCGGTATATTCAACCCGCGTGCTACTGGTGGTGGTCGCGCGGCAGCGAAGCGCCGTTATGGAGTACAGCTGATATATTATTATTATTATTATTATTATTATTATTATAGTAGGTAGTGGACATAACATACAAACGAAAGAGGCCTTCGAAATAGTGTATATAGCAGCAAAACGCTGCACAAAAGGACTCAGGAAGCGCCTATTGGTCACAGCAGAAGCAAGCAAATGTAGCTGGAACTGTGTAAACAGCGTGCACGTATGCAGAGATTAACCCTACCGTGGCCTTAGTCTAAACACCTGACTTCTGGCATAGTCGTCAATGGTTCAAATAGACAAAGACTGCCACCGTTCACCCAACCGCAGCATTCACGACTGTGTCGCATCGCCAGCAATAACCATTCAAAAAATGACTACGAAGTTCATGATTGTAAGTGCATGAAGTGAATCTACCGAAAAGAATTTTCATCGCAATTTACTTCTGACAGCATGATAAACAAAATGAATGAGAGGTATAAACGTCGGCACCAAAGGAGAATGCGAACTCAAAGGTGTACGCGACTGGGTGACCGAACTAGGCGATTGGTTCCAATGGGATCAAGTCTGGTGCGGTGTTGTCGACCCTGTGCGCCACAATGACAGGAAGCCAGGGTAGACGCAGTGCCTAGACATATCTTTTTATGCGCACACAAGTCAAGGTCATGAAACCGAAGTGCCATTGTTTCGGCCGCTGCCGACGTCTAGATACGCGATAGATGGGATGGAACGCTTCGTGCACTGTTAACTGGTAGTTCTAATCAATCAAATGCGAAAGCGTAGCGCTTACCACTGTTCTAGTCGCTCCGCTATAAGGCCAAGAGGAACAAGGCTCCTGGCTCCTTCGGACAGTATCCTGGTAGTATCTCCTATACATCTTGATCATCAACAACCAGCGAAACTGTAAACATAGAAGAAAATATTTCACACCACAATACTGATCCCGAATTGCCGATGAATCGAAGCTTAACTGCAAATCGGATGAGTAGTATTTTTGAGAAATGTCCTCGGAAAGAATTCCAAATGTTGATTTTACCACCGCATCCGCCATGGACGGCAGAGACAGGCAGACTGGCTTCTTCTACACTAAAACAAATGTGCAATAAGTTTCACAAGGCTGCATATTTCTCAGAACGAACTCCAAGAATAGCCATTTCCCTCGAATAACTTTCGTACGAGGTTAAACTTCTCCGGACCCAAATACGCTGGCGCGATATTTCGAACGCGCTACGTGTTTCCACGCTAGAGAACTAACAATTAAATTTTGCAGTTGCATATGCCTGAATATCTTCCGCAAGCAATTGCGTACTGATCAACTGTATTTTCCATTTGACATGTTACAAAAAACCAATTGCAAGAAGAGCAACAATTCTGCAATTAAGCATCGTAGGCGACCGCTCTTCGAAGGATAAAATTAGAGAGATCTGAAAAATATCGGTATCGTTTATCGCCAACATCCATTCGATCCCCTGAAAATTAGATTGTGCACCGTCTGTCGCAGAGATATTTCGCAGCTAGGCATCATCAGGTTGAAAGAAATCTGGCTCCACGAAGATGTGGATGTTGCAGTGCAATCCGTGGGGGAATATATACGACATCGAATTGATCGCCCATGCGCGCACCGAAACAGAAACGATGGATTCCTTATTTACACTAATCTATGGCGAAATTAGAGAATACCAAGTTGCATGTGGAGATCACGGCCTTCGAATGCTATCACCACTATATGGACGACATATTGGTCGTGGCCAATCAGTCTGTTGACATTGACACTGTTATTGACCGTTTTAGTCGGGCCCACCCATAATTGTAGTTTACCTAGGAGAAGGAATTGACCGATCAGTTGCCGTTCCTTTATGTCCTGTTGAGTAGAAGGGCAGACGGCTCGATCCCATGGCAGGTCTACAGGAAGCCAACCTGGAGCGGTCAGTATACGAACTTCCACAGTTTCGTTCCGTTGAGATATAAGCGAAACCTAATTCGCTGTCTAACCACAAGGGCCCGCAGGATCTGTTCTGAAGACAAGTTGGATAATGAGTTGACGTTCATTCAGAATTTGCTGCGCAAAAGCGGATATCCTGATCGTTCCATTCTTAGGAAAATGCAAAATAAACCCGACCTGTTGCAAGGTCAGAGAGCAGCGAAAAAAGAACTTTTCATACGACTACCCTTCAAGGGAGACGCCGCTGCTGAGCGTGTAACTAGAAGCCTTTCAAGAGCTGTCAAGTCAACTTTCCCAGCAGCCAAGCTTAGGTGTACCTTTTCAACGGAGCCACTCATTCGTATTCACAACAAAGACAAGTTACCGACGCCGACCGCTTCTGTGATCATTTATCAGTTCGAGTACGCCTGTGGCGCTACTTACATCGATCGAACGGCGCGGCAACTGTCGAAGCGCATTAAAGCGCACCTATCACGCTGGTTGCGTCGAGGCGGTACTGGGGCTATAACTAGCTCTGTTATGGTTCATCTTGTTGATAGTGGGCATGAGGTTGACCCAATCTGTGCTTTTCGAGTACTATACAGGGTCCCTCCACTCCAGTCGGAAGGCCTGCGCCTCCGGATCCTTGCTACTGCCGAGGCGATCAGCATTCGGTTATATCAACCGCTTTTGTGTGCACAAAAGAAGCTGATCCAAGGTGTTAAGTTACATTGGCCAGATAAAACGGATCCTTCCTAGAGCAACTGTACTTCTGTCCAAGTCTGCCGTTTGTTGCTGATTCATGCCCTTGGTCGGCACGTGAGCAATCTCATTTGAACTGATCGTTAATCCACTTTTACGCCGATTGCTATTTCGCTCATTTCACATCGGAAGATGAATCATGGTCTTTAGTTCTTGACCATATTCGTGCACTGTAACAAGACGCATCTTTCGTTTCTCTTCCTAATGTATCGACTACTTAGCACTGTAATGCAAGCCGAGGTGTTTCTGTGGCTACTGCGCAATGTCGTTGCCTAACATGCAGTGGTGTAGGGACTGCGTTTGCCGCTGCGAGTCAATCGTAAGATTTTCGCTCCCCGCACTTCCCGGATGTAACTCTGTAAACCCTCCCGAGTGCGAATAACTCGTCAATATATCGTTTCAAGAAATAACAAGGAAAGGTTTACCTCAGAATGCTGCTTGCATTGTTGCAATACTCGTGCACACAAATTACAATCACGCTTTTCGTGCTTTACTTGCGGCAAAATTATCAATAGCACTAGCAAAATTCAATCCATCGGCAAGCTCTCTTTCTCCCACTATCGAGAGAACTGCCAATTCTGTGAGCGTTGTCCAATTCATTGCTGATCGAAGCTAGTTCATTATAAACTTCAGTTATGAGAAAGAACGTTCACAGCTGGCAATGTTCATAGCTCGGTTAATAAAGACGCGCAGCTAGATCACACTGTTCGATGCAGATTCCCCAAGGTGATATCTATGTATGGAGCTAAAAAGTTCAAAGGGTACACTGATTTTGTCGTTTCTTAAACTTTCACAAAATACTGCAACTTCGTCCTTTCGGCATGGAACTCCTCTTTTTCTA